CCAACTCACCCCATTGGAATAATCCTTGGCAACAGCACATGTTGGCAGTTGGTTGAAATCCTGGTCGGTGACAATGATGTTGCCAACGAGGGTTCCCTCTCCTGAGTTCTCGGGCAGCTCGTGAGCGCCATCAAGAGTGACCGAGGTGGGACCCTCGGGAACGTCTGGAAACATCGCAGAATACACATGTACAGACATGCAGAAACACGCATTGAAATGCTTGTCGCGCACGACCATTTCCTATTAAAGCTTCCGCTGATCGAGCTGTGCATAATGTCAAATGCTTTTGAGCTTGGTGTGTCGAGCGTTGTCATGCACAACCTGCAGAGCACGCTAGCAGAGTGTGCACATGACTGGTGCACTGGTACGCACCGCAACTATGGTAACCAATACTGGCATGCACCGTAACCATGGTGAACAGTACTGGCATGCACCGTAACCATGGTGACTAGCACAGCATATGCGTAGCTCGACTCACCGGTGACATTCAAGTCGATCTGGTCGATGAATTCCAAGCCGCCCTGGTCGTCGACGGAGATGGAGAGTGTGTATGCCTCTACGGTCTCGTAGTCAATGCTGTCGTTGACGATCAGCTTGTTACCAGTGATCTTGAATGGTAAGTCATTGCCACCAGTTGGCAAGAGTGCATATACAAATGTCTGCAAGAAGAGAAAGACAATGACAGGTGAGCAAAGCGATGATGCTGTTGGGGCAGAAGGCCACTAGACAACTCTGTGCTGAACTCTGCTGGTAGGAACTGTCACCATTTGCAATTGCTATCCCGAAAGGCTTATTGAAAACAGTATAATTATGTACATCGTGAGGGGACAATAGGGGATCTTTTCTAAAGTGGTAGCCATGTGCATATTTTCCATGAAGCAGTCCGTGTATCTTCATTGCAGCCACTCTGCGATACCCATAGGCTTTACTCCTCACTAGGTCTGTGACTGCAAATGATGGTGTGATGAGGGTGTAGTGTAGCGTTTGTCATAGAACAAGAGAAAGAAGAAGCAAGAGCAGGAGCAGAAGCATAATTTAATGCACTGTAAGAACTTTTAACGTCAATTAAAGCTAACGATCTCCGAATTTTTGTGGGTAAGCGTGGTGAAATTCTAACGAATTCCGTCTCAAAACCGGCAAATGACTATACAGGTCCATACCGCTCTGTACATAACGACTTCAAATGTTAACGAATTGTTTAAATTTGTTATAAATCGTTAGAATTATAAGTTCGTTAACATTACTGGTCTTCTGGTATGTGCTGATGATACTGATCTGCACATGGTGTAACGTCAGTACGATAATGGTGATGGAAGAAATATCCATGAGTGTATCATCAGCACATACACTACACAGAACAAAAAGACAAGACACTATAGAGAGCGGCGTTCACCTGTGGAGTGGTGTCGGGGTCACTGGTGGAGAGAGTGCCAACAACGGTACCGATTGGTACGTTCTCGGGAACACTGCCCGTGCTCAGGCTGATGCCATCTGGTGCTTCGTTCTCGTCTGGAAGCAGAAACGAGAGGGAATGCACGCCAGCAACAATGAAAAGTAGATAGTGGCGCATTGACAGCAACTTTTTGCAGTTCAACTGGTTTGTTGTTTGAACTTAAGGCTGGAGATGTGTGTATGGTGGTGTAGGGTTGTCAGCTCTAAAACTTGAATCACCCTACTGCAATGCAGCATGGTGTATGAGTAGATTGCAGCATTAGTTCTCATGGATGCTATGCCGCTGTGATCAGCATGTCAGTACAGCAGCATTCGTACCTGTCACAGCAATCGTGAAGCTACGGGTAATACTGAGATCCGGCAAGCCATGGTCGTTGCACGTGATCGTGATCGAGTAGGACTTCTTCTTCTCGTAGTCGAGGACTGTGTCCTTAGCCAATGCCAGGTCATAATTGGGTGACTGGCCGTTGATCTCAAACTTAGCATTGTCACCACCTGCTCCCAACACGCATGTTGGCCTCTGGACAAGTTGGACTTCATTGTCCGGATCGCTGACCTGCATAAAACAACGCATCAATCAAGAACCATGTTTCAAACCAAATCCAATGACAGTTTGGAAAGGGTCCAACACATGCCATATTGGATACTGATACGAACTACCCTGGGTAAAAGCGTGTTATTCTTGCACACGAAATTGACGTCTGGTGAGCTACATATGCCCGGAAAAGGAGGCAATGAGAACTACACATGCAACGGAGGAAAACAGGCGGTGTAGCTGATAACTTCAATTTTCACGCATTCAACGACCATCAGACAGCAGCATTTGGCATTCACAATGAGAACTACTCCTCAGTTGAAGTATGTATGCCAGGAAAGGAGACAGTGTGGTGGCATAATCAGATCACACCAGCTCAGTAGTGCTGCAGTCATCACGGTACTTACATCCAAATCGCTGACCAAGGAGCCACCAGGAGAATTCTCCGGAATGGATGGTGTGCCGAGCGTGATTGCCGTGGGCTGCTCGTTCAAGTTGTTCAGAGTGATGTTGACCACCAAGACTTTGTGCAGATGGGATGGAGAGCTGTCGCGTGCATACAGGGTCACGCTGTACCATGACTGCAGCTCCCAGTTCAGCTTGGCAGACTTGACCATGACCTGTGCGGTGCACGACTGTCGGTGGATGTGAGTGGCCGTCTGCACGTCCTTGCACGAGGTCGACGAGAGAGAGAAGATGCTGGATGTTGGATACATGCTGATGGTCAGCTTCTCATCGTCCTCGTCGATGGCCGTTACCATGCCGACGAGTGTGCCCACCTTGGAGTTTTCATCCACCTTAGTCTTGTCCATGGTGATGGAGATTGGTGGGTCCTTAGCATCCTGTACATCTACAACCAGGGACTGGGATGTGGACACTGAGCCGCGCTGCTTGTCAGTACAGATGACTACGATGCTGTGATAGTTTTGTGCCTCGTGGTTGAGCGTCTTGGCAACGAGTACCTGGTTTCCGGACAACTTGAAGAAGCCGTTGTCGGAATCTCTCAAGATCCACTGTGAGCATGGATTCTTGTCAGTGGGCACGTCGGGATCATACGCAGACAGATAGCCAACGCGAGTATTGATGGCCACGCTCTCCTTTACCTGCCACGGGCTGAGCTTGATGTCTTGCGGCGGGTCGTTGACATTGATGATGTTGACGGTGAATTGCTGGTTCTTGTACATGTTTGGCAGGCCATTGTCGGTGGCGCGCACAGTGATCTTGAAGCTGCTGTGAACGATTCCTCCGGGGACGTTCAGCTTTGGCACCCAGCGGCTGATGACCCTGTTGCCGCTCAGGCGGAACAGGTAGTATCCCGTATTGGTGGTGCCCGTCTGCATGGTGTACGTGTGCCGCTGACTGGACTGCGGGTCGCTGGTGGAGAGGTAGCCGACCGTTGTGCCCACTGCACTGTTCTCATTCAGCGAGTAGCTGGACATACGCAGGCTGGTCGGTGGATCGTTGACGCGACGGCAGTAAAGACGTGAAAGCAGGCTTGCGTCGGTCCACTGCTTGTTCGCTTGGCACTGGATACGACTTAGACTCTCAAAGCGGGTGCGAGAGTAGGAGGCCATGAACGTCCCGCCGCCAGAGTATGTGGCTGGCTTGTAGTAGCTGCTCGAGCATCGGGGGTAGCAGTAGTCGCGGTACAGTTTTCCGCACGATGGAATCGTGATCTTCTGGCAAGCACTGCCAAAGCTGTCGCGGTATGAACTGCTTGGGCAGTTGGGAATGCGTGGGTTGCCACAGCTGACGCGATAGCACTTGGTACGTGACGACAGGTAGTATCCGGTGTTACAAGAGCAGGTGTAGCTTCCAACCTGTGTGCAGTGTGCAGCAGAGCATAGCACGACACAGCAAAAATACCATGTAAGCCCGACACAGATACACAAGCGGCACTTGTGCACACACACACACACACACACACACACACACACACACACACACACACACACACACACACACACACACACACATACATACGCACACACATACGCATACACACACATACGCATACACACACATACACACACACACACACGCACACACACGCACAGTGACCATACGAATGAACCGTAATACATTGAGGAAACGAATGCATGCAATGGTAATTCCACACCAGGCAGTATGTATAACAAAACGGCTCTATTGGTAGTGTTCATTATACACCAGTGCATGATGTAAAGAGAAATGCAGACCTGCTAGCCACTACATGTACTAGTTTGGTGCTTGGTTTTGGGTGCGGCAAGCACCTACGTGCCTGCTTGCCGGGGAGACAGTCAAAAGCATGCACAGAGCTCTGAGCTGCTCAAAACTAGCGGTTGGCTGTCACTCTGGCTGCCACTACTCTAGGCCTAGCACCACCGACCACTAGGAACAGCGCCTCATACTGGAACCAAAACAGGCACCAATGCAGGGGGAGTCGGAAGGTATCTTAGAGGGGGGGGGGATCTTAGGGAGGTACGGTCAGCCTTCTGAGGTATACCCGAGGTGGAGTGGGGGGGGGGGGGGGGGGGGGGGGGGGGTAGGAGTTCTCTGCAGAAATATAATTATGAAAATGTAGAGCCCAAATCGGGACATTTCATTGATTTGCGGGGGTAACTGGGGCAAATAGTGGTACGGTCAATAGCGTAGTGACCGTAGCGTGTACGACGGCGCTGCAGTGAATGTCTTACATTGTTGTGGCAGTTATGGTCGCATGGTCTCCTGGTGCATTCGTTGACATCATAGCACCGTGATCCGGACTTGTAGTAGCCAGTGTAACATGAGCAGTAGCCACTGCCCGTGCACCGCTGCTGGCAGCCACCGTTATAGGAGCCGCAGTACCTCCAGGTGTACCTGGACGGGCATCCCCAGCCGCCGCAGCACGGCCACCTGTACACGTAGCGTCGGCGGTACTGCGTGCCTCGTGAGCATGCGGCGTTGCACCTACTCCACCTGGTCCAGTCTGCACATTCACAACACAGAGCATGGGGAAAGCGACCACTTCTATTACATGCCGCACGGAATGTTGTTACAAGCTCATGATGACCGACTACTCTTGCCCAAGACGGCAAGAGCACCCACTCCGCTGGGAAGGGGGGGGGGGGGGGGGCGGGGGGGGTTGGGGGCACCTTGAATGTGTGAACCTTTTAAAAGTATCAATATAAAGTATATGTAGAGTTCGCATGCACGTCCGAGTTGCAAATGGCTATACAATTGTGTTGAGAAACACAGCTAGCTTATACAACGTGCACCCGCCTTATTCCGTCAAGGCAGGGTCTCAAGCAGAGAGTTACGTTTGTCATCATTATGTCCGTAGTAGAGGATGACCCTTTCGTCATCTAGTTCGTCAATCAAGGCTCTCACGTCGTCCGCGCAGCTACCGACTATTTTTTTCAGCGGTCAAGGATGGTCTCATCGGCGAAACCTTCTCACACGTAATATACTAGCACAGCTCAAAATTCAAAGCACACCGAAAGTTGAAACCACTCGCGAGGGATGTGCCAACGAGCAAACACATGCCTGGGGGATTCATTTTCTCCTGAAGCCTAGTGAAGGAGCGTTTCAACAGTGCGGCCCTGCAAAGCCTAACTAACTTACTACCGGTACCTCAGTAACGCTGTCACTCGTCGAGGCTTCGACTCGTTTACCACTGTTTCGGGCACTGGACTACATAATCATTGGGAGGAGAGAGTAGTCGGTGTTTCGGCAGTAACGCTGGCGCTGCCCTCTCGTCGTTGGCTATGCTTCTACAAGTAGCCCGTCCTGATCTGGAGTGGCGTCCGAGACTAGATCTACCTACTAGTACTAGTACTACATTAGTACCTACTAGTAACACCATGAACACAAGTAGTCTATTATTTTCACTGGCTAACAGGCAGGGAGTCGGCCAACGCCGGTCACCAGGTCACAGACTCAGTGATGATGTTCGACGGAGTTTCCAAGATACTGCACTGCAGCCCTGACCTGACTGAAGCAGCAGTCAACAACAACAGACACAGTACAGTGTCAGTGGGTTTTTACCGTTTCTACCTACATCATGTGCTACAGACAGTAGTACGTGTACTAGTAGTTCTACAATGGATTTGCGGAGTTTGAGCCACGTTTGCTGCAGAGCACCGAACAGGAGCCGAGAGCTGAGTCAACGCCGATCCTCCTGCGCTAGCTGCCGGACCTCCGTCGTCAGATTAGATCACGCTTCTGAGTTCAGTTACCACCGGTTCCCTGGATCATTCGGTGTTGTTCGTGATGATCGGCGAGTCTGCGGCTACATGTACTATGAATCGTATGATGTAGGCAGGACTGACCTGCGCTGTACCAAGCCACAAGGCAGACTGTCTGTTTGTTGATCACCGACCGGCAGTGTCGATGTGCAATGTCCGAGCATGATTGTGCAAAACCTCTACCGGTACTCAGCGGTAGATCTATGTAGACGGCCAATCTGCGTATGCGCTTGTTGGCCATCATGGTTGACAGGAGTCAAGATCGCCTCGCATGATGATTGTATCGAAGTAAGTAATTAGTTTGAGACAACTGATATTGGTAATAGTGATACTGATAGTGTAAAGTCTAAAGATCACCTTTTGATTTCGTTACTCCTCCCCTGCGCCCCGGGCCCCTAGGCCCTTCATGCCTGGCATGGTATAGCCTTGCACTGCACCAGTCCATGCACTGTTCCCGTTTCAAGATCCCTCTGCTCTCAACGCACCCCATTCTCCCCAGCCCTCCTCTTACTTACTGTCTTGGTCTTAGTGTAGTCTTGATTTCTTCGCCGTGGTTGGTTGTCACTAAAAATTAATATCTTTGCAGTTTGTAGTATGATTGTACATGACGTACTTCCAAGATTGCCTGATGAGCCCTGGCTGGAGGGGTGGAGGGAAGAAACGTACCGTTGCGTCGCGACTCGCGAGCCAAGTCGTCCAGTCTGTGTCATCGCCAATGGCAATGCGCCAGGCGCTAACTGATTGTGTTAGCCAGCCATGTGGATATGACCAGCCATGCATCGACGGACTAAGCGCCAGGCGTAAACAGATGATAGTGGTGAGAGGATCTAGCCTTTCTAGGAAGGATCGCTCCTTGTTAGAATTTTGTACAGCTTAGAGCGAGCTGTGTGGGGAGGCGTGTATTTACCGCCATTCGGACTACATACTGGTAGTAAGTTAGTTGAACAAAATACTCATGAGCTCACGGGGAGGCATGCATAGCCGAGCGGTACGACTTAACTTTGAATACCAGCAGAGAACCAGCGTAGATCTACCGACTTGAACTAATACTTGCTACAGACATGATTACTGCGTTCATGATGAGACCTTGCACTGCTGTAGTGTAGCTGTCCCGACACAGACCATTTGCTAGCTGCGTGTGTAGACCTGCGTGTGCGAGACTAATGCCTGCAGTGCATGGTAGTCTTCCGATTAGTTTTCTACAGTTCGATTTGCACGACGTCGATGAGACAGGTGAACCAAACTGGACCACTGCTTCTGAACCGGTATGCTGCTATCCATAAAGACATTGGTCCAGGAAAGAAACCGTGTACCTGACCCGAGTCTGTGAGCGGTGCTTACAACTTTCTGGCGTTCACACAGCGTGACCGACATGCCCAAACCCAAGGCCAACGCTTCTCCCGTGTGATCTTGAAATTGGCCGACTTCTTCTGTGTAGGGGGGTACTGGATCGGCAGATCTACTAGTCAAATCGAAAAGGACAGGAGAAAGCATGCTAATACTTTAGTTCGTTCTCGCCATACGAGCGGCAAGACCATCAGGACTCGGGAAAGCGCTGACAGAGCTGGATCGCCGAAGATGGAGATGGGCAGTGGGGGAGGGGGTTGTCCTTTACCTTTCAACTTGGGACTAGGAGGGGTCTACATAGTTCTCAGAATGCCGGAACGGCAAACCTGCACATGCAAGAGAAGCAATCCCCATTCGACTTACTGTTGGTGCCGCAATTCACTGGTCTTCTCCGACGTCGTCTTCCCCAGCCATCGCTGCCGGGCACCAGGACCAAGATGGCCACCAGCAGAATAATAGCTACGACTAGGGTCCTCATCTTGAGGAGAGAATGCTGTTACGAGTATCCAGCAGCAAGTGCGCCAGAGGAAACTGAACAGCGTTGTACTCTTGAGAGGAATGCAGCCAGTCTTTGCCACTGCAACTGTTGCTCTCCTCTCTCCTTGGAGTGACCGGCCTTGCTCAACGTTCTGACCGTTTGGCACAGGAAGAAAAAAAGATGGAGGTGAGCGGCAGTGACGGTGGCGGAGCAGCTAGAGTCCGTATAGAGCCAGCACGGTTTGCAAGAGGATTGTACCGGTGAACACCTCTCAGCCGGACAGTTCTCTGCGGCGACATCACGATCTACGGGCCAGCACCGAGGCCACGCCATTACGAAGCGAAAAATTCCTTGCCCATAGGTTCAGTCTTGCGTGCACTGCGCGTGCAGCACCAGGATTCTGACCACAGACCGCAGCCATCCGAAGTCGACAGGTCAGCGGTTATGAGCGTCCATATTCTGCTGACATGGCACGTGTGCGTGCGCGCAGCTGGCAAGCGCAAGACATCGCGCTTACCATGCAGAACACACTGGAAAATCACGACACAGTTGTTCACTCGGAGTCGGAGTTCCCATTCGGTGACTCGTCTGATACCCTTTCCCCCCTCCTCCTCTTCGGAGGGGGAAAGGGTAGATCATCTACACCTGCCCCTGGGTAGGCGGGTTGCGTTTGGCTGATGCAAGAGCAGCAAGACTGCCTAGACTGGGCTATACTACTAGTATACTATCGTACTACAATGTAGCTGTGTGTGGTCCATGACTTGTTGCATGCACTTCTGCCACGCGTGAAGCTGAAAATTGGACTAGATTCACAGGATCGTCGCGTGGCTTCTGCCAGTACTGGCTAGACTGGCCTGCTGGGCGCATCGGACAGGTGCATGAACACAATCTATTAGTATTACTTGCCGGACTTGGAGGAATCACAGTGCCTGGTGCGTCAATATGTTCAGTGGGACACACATACATGTACTCTGTGTTCCTGTGTCACTGTGTGTGTACGCCTGTGTGTGTGTGTGTGTACGCCTGTGTGTGTGTTCCTGTGTCACTGTGTGTGTACGCCTGTGTGTGTGTTCCTGTGTCACTGTGTGTGTACGCCTGTGTGTACGCATGTGTGTGTACGCATGTGTGTTTGTGTGTGTGTGCATGTGTGTGGTGTGTGTGTATGGTATGGTGTACAAATGTGTATGTGAGTTTTTGAACTCCATCCACATGTAGTCTAGAACATCGTTACTTTCCAAAGCCATGTGCAACTCATGGTACTTGGCTTTGCTTGTGTGTGTGTGGTGGTGGTGGTGGGGGCAGGCAGGCGGTTCAGGCATGCGCAGCATATGCGGCAACCAGGGCCTATCACGGAGTATGACATGCCTGCATCTGATCTACGGTGCAGAAATACTGATATGAGCACCTGCATTGTGTCACAGTGGCGTTGCCATAATTTATTATGTGATGAGCATGCTGTACTCATGCGCGGCAAGGCAGCAGTAATAGTGGAGCCTGGACAGAAGGGATCTAAGTTTGAGCAGTGCCCGCTGTCCCTGGCACGATTCCAGCCCGCTGCAATTTCCATATACGTACCTGTCAGTGGGTGATGCAGTTTCATGCCCAAACATGGACATGGTGAGAGAAAGAAACCCCGGGGACAACTACTGCTGTAATAACTATGTTGAATAGCCAGAAATGTCACGTTCACCTGCGGAAGGGGGGCAGTGCCATTGGTGCTGCCACCGCGCATGCTCCATCACACTGTATGTACCAGTACCGGCACCGGCAGACCCCAACATGCATACACCTTGTGTGCGTGAACAATATGATCAGCGACAACAGGCCGGCGGGAGTACATAAACGGGTTTACGTACTCTTGGCGACAATCAACACAGAGAACGACAAGCCGGTGCTGGGGGAAATAGAAAATTTCTCTGAAAAATGGTGATATTGTATAGACTAGATTACTTGCTACACAAAAAGCTGAACAGCCAAAAAGAATAACTTATTTACAATCTGTATTCTGAAAAATGATACGCATCTGGCGCTAGTATAGAGCCATCTAACTTTACTGCAAAAGTATGCGCCTAATGTTGACTTGATCTGAGTGTTCATAGCGGAATGTCACGGAATTTCCATTCCAAAATGAGAGAGACTCACATGACAATATAGCATGCAGAATGCAGTCCAGAACGGAGGAGCTGAGGTAGTACTGCTTTCCTACGCTCCCTCTCACTCCACACAGCGGCACCTAAACAATTTCAACGTGAGGAACGGCAATATGGATTGACCTCATTAGCGGTCATGACTCTGTGCAAATAGACCGCGGTCTAGTAGCACAGACAGAAGTTCAGTTCGGGACAGTTGACAATAGCACTGTGGACGATAGCAGTGAGCAGTTGTACCTCACATTACGGCAAGACGTACGGTGCTCGTGTCCGCGGTCCTAATTGTCCATGTCTTCGCCCATCTCCCTGATCGCGTCGGGCGACTCGTACAGTGCATTCTCACACTCGTGAATTCCGGACACGGCTTGAATTTGCCCACCGGTCGCTTCGTACACTGGGTTTGTTACGCCTGTTGCAGTTCCTCGATTGGTCTCAGCAAACTTGCTGCGGAAATCTCCGAGGCTTGTCTGGACACAGGAAACATGAAGAAAAGCAACAGGGAGGCAAGAGTGTCTGTATCTGCACTCTTCAAGGTGGATTATGTCACACTGCTATTCGGATATTAGTTTGTCCATAATGGGATTAAAGAATGAAATATCAAGTCTGGAGCTACCCTATACTATAGACCTAGCAGTAGGGGTTCTCACCTGAGGGTTGAATCTGCCGTACAGACCATAGCATGGATAGAAATAGCTGTGACCTTGTGATACGTGTATGTGCATGTGTGTGTGTGTGTGTGTGTGTGTGTGTGTGTGTGTGTGTGTGTGTGTGTGTGTGTGTGTGTGTGCTTGTGTGTGTGTGTGTGTGTGTGTGTGCTTAGGTGCTCGTGTGTGTGCGTGTGTGTGTATGTGTCGGTGTATGTGTTTGCGTGTCTGTGTTTGCATGCGTGCAAGTGTCTGTGCATATATGTGTGTGTGTGTGTGTGTGTGTGTGTGTGTGTGTGTGTGTGTGTGTGTGTGTGTGTGTGTGTGTGTGTGTGTGTGTGTGTGTGTGCATGCGTACATGGTGTGTAGTAAAAACAAGCGTGGAAAGTATTATTTTCATAGGCTTACATAATGTCCCCTCATCAATCGTGCGTTATTATGACCTCTGATTCGTATTCTGTCCACAATCCGGCTATTTTGCTTACCTGGCTCGCGGAGGCACTCGCTCCGTCATAATTGCTATGTAGTAGACGCTCATCATAGCGGCCGGCGATCTTCTTCTTGGTAGAGAAGAATCGAATGACAACAATAACGATGGCGAAGGCGACCAAGCACACAGCTACTATGATGACAATTCCCGGCGTTGTCTTGTAGAACGCCTCGCCACTGGCTGGTGTGTACTGTTTGTTGGCATTCGGGGAGTTGGGAATATTGATCACCACGTTGCAGTTGGACTCGCATGGCGGTTTGGTAGCGTCCGCAGGGAGCGGTGCAATCTCAATATAATACTGAGGTAAAACGTGTTCTGTATGCAAACAAAAACAAACAAAAAACAACAACAACGGCGATGACAACGATAACACCACGATGCATATGAGTGCTGACCAGCAATGGTACGGTAGAACCTGTATTCCAGTCTGCACGTGAATTTCCAAGTGAGATTCAGACGCCAAAACTCTGCCCGGTCCAGTCCAGATACGGATGCCAAGACCGGACCCAGCTAGGATTCAGACGCCAGCATGATCCTACCGGATCCAGTTGCCTTATGACGTTATGTAGTACTTGTACTTGTACAGTCATGTACATGTGCACAACATATCCTGTCAACGCACATCACAGTGCTGTTTCAAAGTAGCTTTTCTAAAGGCCAGAAACACTCTGCAAGCGCTTGTCTCCAGGCCAAGACGTTCACAACCCGATCAAGACGCGTGCTGTAAGTATCAGTGCACCCTAAGCTATGGCTTCACTTCGATTTACCTTGAAGGCTGCTATGGTATTCGCTCTGGCCGCACTTGAATCCTGCCTTGCCCAACACAGCCGAGGAGTTGACACAGTCCGTGTAAGCCATACATTGCAGGTACTTGGCCGGCTGCAGCTTGAAGCAAGTGTCGGCGCGGCGCAAGGCCTTGAAGCCGGCCGAGGAGTCGAGGACGACTACGGTGTGCATGGCCTTGCCGTCCTTCAGGAAGAGCGACTGCTGGCCCTGGACCAGGTACTGGCGGCCGAGCGGTGAGGTGGCGCGCTTCTTGCGACCGGTGACCGTGATGCCGGAGCCGGCCGACTGGGCCTGGGCGGTGTGGTACTTGCAGAAGTCCTGCTCCTGGTGCAGCTCAGGCTCGTTCAGCACGTCCTCGATATACTGGGTGGCACGGTGGTTGTACGTAGCATCCAGAACGCCAGTTGACGGCACGCAGGGCGACTCCAGGATGATGTGCTCCACTTCAAAGCTGCCAACACAACTAGATAATGCAGGAAGAAGACAAAACAGAACATAAGACTCAGTCAAACCCCACAGTGTATACAATGCCGAGCACACCGAGCTTGAGACAAACCGAAGGTAGAGCTTTGAAGAATGGAAGCACCTTCCGTGTAGTCCGAGTTAAGCATTGGGTATTATTTTCACACACGGTCACATGCGCAGTGTGCTAGGGCCTGTACCGTCAACTTCTCTTATAACGACATTCGGCGGGGCATCAAAAAAGTGTCCTTATTCGCGAAGTGTCATTATACCCGAAGTCTCATTATATTGTATTACAGTTGGAAGGGACTTTGCTCTGGGCATGGAAATTCTGTCGTTATTCGCGAACTGTCGTTATATCCGCAGTCGTTATTAGCCAAGTTGACTGTAGTAGAGGTGGGGAGGGGTGGGATGCACGCATTCTAAGATACACTCTGTCCGTGTCGGTACTTACATCGGAGTGCTGCCTTCACCATTGCTTGCCGGCGTGGACGCACAGAAAGCAGCCGTTGTCTTCTGCTCGCACATGCTGGGGAAGCTGGAGCACGCGGCACTCTGGATCTCGCAGTAGTAGCCCATGTAGCCGGTTGGACACTGGCAGAGGATGTCATCCTTTGTGTCGACGCACTTTCCGCCGTTCTGGAAACGCATACACAGATATTGGATAGGAAAGACGGGTGACCCCAAATCCACTATTATGCGGGCTCCAACCAATGCGTACTAAGCCAGTGCGTACTGGGCCAACGTCTATTCCGGTGTCTTCCCATTGCACCGTGTCCAGGATGTGACCCGCCACCGACACCAATGCATCATCGTTCTAACTGTTGTACTGTTATATCACTGAGACAACAGAACAAGGGGTAAGTAATTAGTTGAAGCATACCAGAACACACGCTTAGCCCACCTTTACATCAGAAGTTCAGAACAACCATCACGAAAACTAGTGTAGTGTTCTGCTAGTTGAAATCCTCACTCCGTTCCGTGTTCCCAAAATTCCGAAATCCACCCATCTTCAAATGCTGAAGCAGCAAAATGAGCTTTCAGACAGGCATACGCCAGAACCCATTCGCCTAACACCACAGACAGACCGTGATAGATATCACAAAGTGGAGTAGGGCTATCACAAAGTGGAGTAGGTAGCGGTTGATAACTAATAGGGACACCGTGTATTTCACTCTCTTACCTGGCAGATGCCTGTCTGTATGGCGCAGGTCTTCAGGTGTGTCTCGCAGTTTTCGCCAGTGTAGGCCGCCGAGCACTGGCAGGTGAAGTCGTAGATGCCGTCGACACACGTAGCACCGTTCATGCACGGCATCGGGTCACATTCGTTGATGTTGACGCACTTTCCGCCCATGACCGTCTCGCCGGGAGCACACACTGTGTACACATGCACACACATACACACACACACACATATCCCAATCCTTTAAAAAGGTGATTGTGTTTATGATAAGCACAGACTCGTGTTGGTGATTTTGCAACCAGTGTGCCTGGTTTGTAGTTCATGCGGACGTGCCAACGTAAGAAGAAAACCTACATGGATGTTACTACTACTATACAGTGGACTTAAGATGGTCCCCGTGCTACCCCTCCTCCATGACTGACCGCTATATACTAGTATTCAGAATATATGCACAAATCAATTACAACTCTCTCTCTCTCTCTCTCTCTCCTGAAAATAGTGCCGATGCAAGCTCCTCTCTCCACACGCACGCACGCATGTACGCATACACACACACAGAAAGTCGGAGAGAGACAGAGAGGTGTAAACACGGTGTCAGTAGCCACGCTCAGCCTTACTTGTGCAGCCGGATGAAGCGGAAATTCCATTTCCAATGTAATGCTGAGGGCACTGGCAGGTATAGCCGGATGAGACTGACATGTCCAGAGTGCAGTTGGCAATGGCAGAGCAGAACTTCTGGCCAAGATGGCATGCGTCTGTGGAAGGACCAGAAAAGCATGGCAATATAGAGAACACATAGAAATCATACTCCACATACTATACTACAGTATACATACCGTGAGAATTCTACCAATACTTACTCTACATACATGTATACTGGAGTGGAGTACATATGCATTTAAAAACTTGTCTACAACAGTGATTAAAATGGGAACGGTTAGTTTTTTTTGCTATGAATAATCAGAATACAGGTAGCTACCAGACTCCACACAATCAACGCAGCGGAGCTTTAAAACTCCATAGCATATATTCGTAATGAGCATCCATGCATGCCGTGTGACACGGGTACGCACCTCTCGTTTTGATGGTGAGGTACTCGCCAATCTCGTGCATGCCCCACTGGTCAACGACGTCGATGCGGAGCCTGTAGCTCGGATTTCCCCGGGTGAAGTCGAAGCGACTCTGGGCAGTGTCGCCGGCCTTCTTGGACAGACGCAGCCACGCGGCTTGCCACGCGTCGCCCTGCGTTGCGCCGTACGGTGCCAGTTCAAACAGGTCGGACATCGGCCCGCTCAGAGTGAAGTTGTACCACTTGTACACATCTTGATCTGCGGGGAAAATCTTGCCGATGAGGTAGCCTGCATAGAACATTGCAGGACAGAAGATTTTACAACACGGCAGAGTCAGCTAAGGACGGAGCGGTGGTCAATCAACACGGCAGAGTCGGCTAAGGACGGAGCTGGTCAATCAACACGGCAGAGGCGGCTATTATACAGGACGGAGCGGCAGTCATTGACGCAATGATTCACAACGGCTGCAATGCACATCGAGAGAGAGGGCTAATGCACCATGATTAGGATCCCGTTGTCAATGACATCAGCATACTAATTACTGAACATGCCGGGCCATCCGACGTAGGGAGAGTTGGGAAGTGACTTTGAGAAAGAGCATTGCACACAGTATGGCCGACAGTATGACCGGGCGGACGATGACTTACCAGTCTTCACCATGCTATCGGTCAGAATGCTGCAGTCGGCCGAGGAGCCCCATTTCCCTGGCTGCAGCTGCGCCGGTGGCAGTGTGGGCAGCTGCTGAGTCGCTGGCGCCGTGGTGCTGTTCTGTGACGACGATGCCTGGCGGCGAGTGCGAGACGGCGACTCCAGGTCAAACAGAGCGCCACCGGCACACTCCAGGTGCACCTGGGTGGGCTTGTCGGGATTGTCTGCACACATACACACACACACACACACACACACACACACACACACACACACACACACACACACACACACACACACATACACACACACGCACACACAACATCCGATTGAGACACGCACAAGAACATCATGATGGCTACAACAGTGCACAGCATTGCGCGGGGAACAATATTAAAGCCCAGCACGTCGTTCATTAAACTTCATTGTGATCGGGGTCGTCCAGGAACTCCAAGCTCTGCTGACGAGATCTAACAAGATCGAAGCAGCTAGCTGTATGGAGATTCGAGTACCAGACATAATACTTTGCTGCAATGGTACCCAACGCAGCTTCAGAAATTCGTATTTGTTCTACCACTGAGTATGACGAGTAGGGTGGCTATTTCAATGGACAGTGTAAGTAGTAAATCTGGAGACACACTGTGTGTGTGTGGTGTGAAACACGCGTACACAATACTTACCGGTGATGTTGACCATGACGGTAATCTTGGCAGTGAGTGGCGGACTGCCCTGGTCCTGAACGGTGACCTGCAGCGTGTACTGCTTTCCGCCTTCGTGATCCAGCGGCTTCAGCAGGTAGAGCTCGTTGTTGCGGACCTCGAAAGTGCCAGCGACGTTGAGACCGCTCACGGAGTAGGTCACGAGCTGCGAGGACGACACGACACGGCAAACGGGGCTAGAGTGATCGGCTGCCGTCTACACTGTACAGTGAATGTGCTTGCATGTACAATGTAGAGCAACTTAAGCTTATCCAGCACTTTGATCCAACATTGATACCAATCGCATCATATACGTAGTACAAGTGCCCGGTGCATGGAGCTGAAGCGACTAGCAGAAAGTCAGATGCTTACAGTTCCTACTTTGTATTATCTGAGAATGTTTTCATGGTCTATGCTAAGCACAGCTATGAGAAAAAAAGGGGAAAGAAACCTATTACAGCAATGAGAGCAAACTCACTGCGTGCTTCGTGCTGTCCGGGTCGGAAACGACGAAGTTCAGTACGGGCACGTTGTACACATGCTCAGGTACAAACACCTGGAAGAGCTTTGGGTTGACCATCACATACTGCATGTTGTCCGGTGCGGTCGCATCCACTGTCAGGTTGTTAGGCGCTTCGTTCTTATCTGCAAAGGCACGGGTGAACAAACGGAGAATTCTGGAGGTTAGAATCCGGCAAATAGCAATGAAAGGAAAGGCACCTACGGAGGAAATAATGCAACCCCAGAACAACTGAGAAACGCTTTGACAGTAACCAAGCCAGGGTCACTGATTCAGAGTCAATACATTTCGGAATACTATAGAGCGCTGTGTGGCAATGCAAGGCGACATAATGTTTCAACCGCCAGTCACACCTGCCCGATCTTATACACTACTTACTGGTGACGGTGATTGTAAAGGTGTTGCTGATGATGTTCAATGGCTGGTTGAGGTCACGGCAGGCAACACGCAGGTCATAGAACGTGTACTGCTCGTAGTTGAGCGGGACCTTCTGCACGAGTGCCAGCTTGCTGGTGATTTCAAAGCGGCTGGTGTAGATCTGGCCAGGTGTCTGGTCAATGATCTGCATCAACCAAACCAAATGAGGAACAGAACAGTGAGAACACCATTCATTCCGGATCTCCGAAACAGAGATAGAATGACAAAGTGCATTTCAGCGCATCAGCTAGACTGAGATGTGTGGATGCTGGGCAGACCAGCACTGAGCCTGGCAAAACGGGAAACCAGTGGAACACAAACATCACTGGTAGTGCTGCCGGCGTGCAAGTCGCCATTTAGTCATTCCAGTGCTCCAGCTCATGCTAGCCGGATATGCCTCGAGTCAATGTTGTGTGCTTGCGTTGGTCCACTGTAGACCTATTTAAAGACATGGCAAGCATGCACACTGTGTACAGTCCGACCCTGGTCAACACTGAACAGGCCGGCCACTCACCACGCAAGTGTCGTCGATGGGCAGTTCGAGATGCGGCTGGATGGGACTGCACGACCTCTGCGGGTAGTCAGGATCCTCCACAACCAGCTGGCCAATCTGATAGCCAGCCGGCTGGTTCTCTGCCACGGTGGTTCCAAGCAAGCATACGGCAGTGGGGTGCTCGTTGTAATCTAGATTGTTTGGCGAGGAGAATGTGCAGGACAGGAGATGGTGTCACGCCCAATAACTTGAAGATACAAGACTGTATGGACAAACTAAATAAACGATAGCATCGATAGATACAACCGATCCCGTGTCACCTTCAGTCACCCGATAGATACAACATCCCGTGTCACCTTCAGTCACCCGATAGATACAACATCCCTTGTCACCTTCAGTCCCCCCCCCCCCTAATTAAATATTAACTGAGGTCTAACTCCTCATCCATCCATCCGAATGTGTAAATACTGTACTTCAGGTCTAGTGCCCTCCTTCATTTCCTCCAATTCCTTGATCATCACTGACATCAGGGCATTAGAGTGTACTGTCAGAAGTAGCATTAGTATACTCACCGTTGATGACGATGTCAAACACTCACGTGGCCGTGTGATTGTGTTCATCTGTGCTAGCAATGGTGATCTTAATGTCATCGGAATTGGCCTCAAAGTCGACTAGCAAACCGGACGCGGTCACGGTGACGTCGCTGCCGACCATTGTGAACGGAACGTCCGTCTCAAGGATCTGTGCACAGCATCAGCAAGTTTGCACAACGCTTTCACTGATTGGGTTCTATGACGATTGACTTCTGCTATTCACTTACCCCTCCCCCCCCCCCCCCCTCTCAACACACACACACACACACACACACATTATATTTTACCAAATATACATGTAAATCAAACTTTTACGAACTAAAACCGAACTAAGAAGGCCAGGGCTAGTCAACTTACAATCTGGGCTTTAAAAACCAATAAATGGGGAAATCGAGGCTCCAAGTATGGGAGGTGGACTAATAACCATACCCGGGGCCAACTTACAACTGCTAACGTATGGTATAGTAAAGTCGAATGTTTCACCGACCATACCCAAAATTAATTATTGCTAGTAGTTAGAAGCACGGCTGCCGCTTGCATGCAGCAAGGCAGTAGAAGGCGCTGGCCTGAAGTCAAGTCTCACCTTGTACGTATGCTTGGCACTAGCATCGACATCGTCGGTGAAAGCCTTGGCGATGACCGTACCTGCCGCGGCGTGCTCCGTCACCGAGGCGTTCGATGGCACGAGACGAATGCTGGCCGACACGTGAGGGTCGTTGTTATCTACGGAGCAACAGCAGTGAAAGGACATGGAAGAGAACGGAATGAAACAAGGCCGTTGAAAAGGAGCAGACCGGAAGGAGCCTCGGCACAGCATACCCAAGTAGCTAACACCTAGAGGAAGGCGAGAACAAACTGCATAGTTGTACAGGTGCAGCACAAGTCACAGTGCTACTTACCAAGAACGTTCACAACACACGTGTAGGTCTTGCTCAGCGGAGTGACCTTCTTGAACGTTGTATTGCCAGTCTGAATGGTGCCATCGTCTGTGACCTTGATGTCAACATTGTAGCTCTTCTTCACTTCAAAGTTCAACATCTGCACCACACAATTGAGGAAGAGAAAAAAATGTTTCAATAGCTTTAAATTTATAAACGTGCAGTGGTCCACTCAGATAACTTAAGACAAGCCATGCTAGACGAGATTATTACAACACGTACTAGCAAGTGCAGCAGCACGTGTATATCGGTAGAGGGAAATACGAGTCTGCAGTGGGTTGCTAGCAGCGGCAAGATGAACAAAGCACCGTGTTGCAGTGTCAAATGAATAGCGCTTCAAGTATGCAGCTGTCCTGCATTAACTGTAAATGCTCTAAATGTGTCCAGACAGGACTGCACTCACCCCGTTCTTCACGAGGGTGTTGGTGGACGGGTCCACCTTGAACGGCACGCTGTTGACGACCGTGTAGGTCAGGACTTGCTTATCACTGAACTCGTTGTCCGGATCAGACGCGTTCAGCATGGCGACCATGGTTCCGTCGGGTTTCTTCTCGCCAATAGAAAAGGCAGCGCATGGAGTGCCAGGCACCTCGTTGACATCTGTCAGCACACAGCAAACGTACACCATAGTGTTACAAGCCGTTAAAAGCATTCGGCATCTGCATCTGCTGCCGCAGGCCTCACAAAGGACCAGATGAACGACAAGGACACGCTCCGTCGGCAACGGCGGACCAGAGGGCATGTGCATGTGCGTGTGCCGGTGTCTGTACTGCCTGCGCTGGCCATGCGTGCGCAATCGGTCAATGAACACACATGCAATCGGTCAATGAACACACATGCAATCGGTCAATGAACACACATGCAATCGGTCAATGAACACACATGCAATCGGTCAATGAACACACATGCAATCGGTCAATGAACACACATGCAATCGGTCAATGAACACACATGCAATCGGTCCATGTACACACACGGAAACACCGCTCCACACGGTTCGCCGAAGCGTGGAAGTGGCCACCGCATGACACACATGATGGTCACGACTACACTATAGATAAACTGCAAGCAAGCTTCACTGCACTTAGCAGCTGGACTTACCCAGGAGGGTCACGATGATGGGCTTGTCAAACGTAATACTTGGCTGCCCATCGGTGGGGATATCGGAGCACTCAACTTCCACAGAGTATGCCAGGGTGGCTTCGAAGTCCAGCGGTTTCTTGGTGTACAGCATCTGGTTCTTGACGTAGAACAAGGAGGTGAGAAGTGGCTGTCCGGCCTGCGGCTGCGTGTCGATGACCGAGCAGTTGTGTGCCTGGCCTACGTCGGGATCAGTCACGGACAGCGAGCCCACCAGCGTACCGGCCGGCTGTGCTTCCTTCACTGAGCTGGGTGTGAGGGTGATATCCGTAGGCGGCTCGTTGACATCTGAAAGGCATATCGGCAAAGACATGATCACCTACGATGTAACAGTTAGTGCCGTATTCGCGGCAAGTTTTTGTTTGTTTTCGACAAGAGAGCTATCAGGGGAACACAGAAGATGCAACATGGCATGGCGGATTCTGCCTCGGGAATGGCAATGAAGATAAGCAGGTAATGCACATGTGCTACATGACGGATTGGAACGCTTGACAAAATTGGCACGTGAACCACTGTGACGACAAGGTACAATCGATAACTGATACCTTTGCATGCAGTGCACCGCAAACTTTATTTGTCTGCGCTTACCGGTCACTCGTACGGTGAATGGTCTCTTGATGCCCAGTCCATCAAGGTCAGTGCAGGTCACTTCCACTTGCAGGTTCTTATCGCTGCCCATGGTTTCATAGTCCAACATAGAGCCTGCAGCAGTGGACACCAGCTCAAGGCCATTGTCGCCAGCAGTGGAGAAGTACTAGAGAAAAGCAACACACGAAGAATCAAGGAATGGGCAGAATGAGATTGGTGCGGCATAGCACTTTCCAATACAGTGCTGATTCCATTGATACATACATCGGTACATGCACACAGTCACACAAACATGCACACGCACGCACACACACACACACACACACACACACACACACACACACATACACACACACACACACACACACACACACATACCCCCCCCCCCCACCACACACACACATACACACACCAGTCCTTTCACGAGTAGGAAGTCACACTACATTGGCACAAGCTTCAAAAATAGCAACGGCTTGTGCAGGTCCCTGCATGAGCTTTAAAACAAGTACAAGTCGATCATGATCAATCAACCTGCCACAGTGCCACGTGTGCACATATTACCTGCATATCAATGCCACCAGTAACTTTGCAGGACGGATCCTGGTTCACATCCTGGTCTGTGACAATCAGGTTTCCAATGAAAGCGATGTCAGAGCTGTTCTCGGGGAGAGTGTGGTTGCCATCCAAGATCAAGTCCGTTGGTGGCTCGGGAACGTCTGTTATCGCAAGCACGACCGCAAGCGCGTACACACATACGGACACCCACACGCATACACACACATACAATGGTCCCAGGCCATTATGATATAGTTTAAAGTCTCGCCACTAGTACTGGTCTGTACAGTGACCGGGCACTGCAGGTACTAGGCGTCACCACGACCATCAGCCGTGCATGCACGTACACCATGTAACGTGACAATGCACTGAACACAATGGAGACTATCCACTGTAGCCAGTCACCGGCTAGAAAAGAAAACAAGATGATACGCTCGGCAGGATGAGCAACGCCTTGCCAAACCCAGCGCACAGTCAGTGCAGTGCTGTGACTGACCTTGGACCCAGACAACAAAGGTCTCAATCGCCTCGAGGCCTCCTTGGTCCGTACTCGAGACGTCGATGACGTAGCTGTCGTTTTTCTCATAGTCGAGCTTTCCGGTTGTCATCAGCCGACCCTTGTTGACAGTGAACGGCGCAGCTGTGGAGAAGCCCGGTGCAAACTTGTACGTGAAACTATCGCCGACATCCGGGTCAATTGTACTGAACATGCCGACAACCGTGCCCACTGGAGCATCCTCCTTGACGCGGTTATTGCTCAGAGTGATGTTGAGAGGTGCTTCGTTCTCGTCTGTTCAGTACAACAACACAAAACGGGAAGATAGAGAGAGAGAGTGAAATCCAGAGCGAGGCTTCATACGCAGATCGATACAAGGACATTGCAGATAGGTACGGTACATGGGTGTCGACGGTGCTGGGCCAGCTGGAGCTCCACCAATATTCTGATATGCTTTTTGAAACTTACAGGGGTTCTTTTAGCATGTTAAAGAAATTCCCGGTGGAGTTCCCATGGACCCCATCCACTACACTTGTGACCCATTGGGTGAAGCCGGACCTATCAAAAGAAGCTTCCAACACCCATGAGGTAATAAGCTCGGGCTTTTAGTACGATGCAAAGCAACAGCACTGCAGCGCTGCCGCACGTGTTTAATGCTCTAATGTTACACAACACGTGCATGTAGGATAGAAGAGGTGGGCCACGCCGGCTCATTGCTTACCCTGGACGTTGACAACAAAGCTGCGAGTAATGGTCTTGGGCGGCAAGCCGTGGTCGTTGCACGTCACGGAGATGCGATACACGGGCTTGACCTCGTAGTCAAGCATGGTCGTCTGGGCCAGCTCCAACTCCATGTTTGGAGACTCACCAGTGATGCCGAAGTAGGCGTCATCACCACCTGGAACCAGCGTGCAGGTTGGTCGCTGGACAACGCGTTGCGAGTTGTCTGGATCCGTAACCTATGGGAAATGGTAGAAGCAAAAACATAATTATTTTTGAAAAAAACATAATTATTTTCAAAAGTAAAATTCTTGAACAGTAAATCAGTCGTAGTAGTCAGTATGATTCTACATTACAGTCGACTCCTGGTACTTTCAATGAACACCATTGTGCCGGAGAATTCATTCCGCACAGCCCAAGTTCTTTATAACAGAAGTGAAGCCACAGTTTGCTAGTTGAAAAGTCAACTCAATGCTCAGTGACCAACAGGGCCACAACTACACGGCAGCGTAGACCACTCAAACTGGACTATATGTAATGGTGTGTAGTACTGTGTATCCCCCCCCCCCCCCACACACACACACACATACACCACGGTCAACGTGGCTTCATACACATCAACGTTCTTGGCAAACTACACTAGTTTTAAACGTGCTCTTGACATTACGTACCACTAGCGAGCTGACGAGAGCACCACCTGGAGCCGTCTCTGGAATGGTGAGGTTGAGAATGGAGATATCTGTTGGCGCTTCGTTGACGTCATTGATGGTGATGTTGACGTACAGCGACTTGTGAAGTGATGGATGGGAGGCATCGCGCGCAAAGAACACCACCTGGAACCAGCCGCCAGTCTCGAAGTCAAGCGCACCCGCTGAGCCAGCTGCAGCGCCCAAGATCTTCGGCTGCACGATCAGGTTTGCCGAGCACTTTGTGCGCGCCTTCACTTGATCGTGAGCCGGTACGTTGGCACAGGTCGTGCTCGACACGCCGAAACGGGTCAGAGAGCTGCCGCCGGCCGTGATGGGGACCTGGCCGCCGACGATGGCGATGATGAGCTTCTCCTGGTCCTGGTCAAGGCCGGTCAGCATTCCGACCACCTGGCCCGCCTTGGCGTCCTCATCAACCTGGGCATTGTTTATGGTTAGGGTGATGGGCGGCTCCTGCGCATCCTGCACGTCAATCACAAACGTAGCCGTTGTCGTGGCTGCTGGTCGGCCAAAGTCCGTGCAGCTGATCTGCAGAGGATGGTTATTCTGTGCTTCGAAGTTCAGAGACTTGGCCACCAGAAGCTTGTTGCCGCTCACCTTGAAGAAGCCGGAGTTGAATCCCGTCACCGCCCACGTGCAGGGGTTGGTGGAGCTCGGAAGGTCCGGATCGTACGCGCTGAACACGCCGACGGTGGAGTCGACCTTCACATTCTCCTTCACCGCCATGTTGGACAGGTGCAGTCGCTCTGGTGGCTCGTTGGCGTCCAGGATTCTGATGGTGAACGACTGGTCTCGGTACATGGCCGGACTGCCGCGGTCGGTGACGCGGACGGTAATGGTGAAGCTGTTGCCATCGCCGGTGATGCCCTGGTGCTGGTTGAACTTGGGCACGAACGTCACCACTAGCCTGTTGCCGACAACGCTGAAGAAGATGGCGGCGGACGACGGTCGCACGGTGAAGACATGGGTGTCATACTTGTTAGGGTCGTATGTAGTCAGGTAGCCGACGACCGTACCCACCGGGCTGTGTTCATTGACCACCGGGCTGTGTTCATTGATAGTTGTACTGGAGATGCGCAGCCACTCCGGTGGATCATTGTCACGACGACAGTAGAAGCGCGAAATAGTAGAGGCGACCGTCCAGCGAGAGTTGCCTTGGCAACGGATGTTGTAGCTCTTACCGATCACGCTGATGGAGTTCCAGTTTTTCATGAACGTGCCGCTTGCCGAGTAAGTCGCAATGCTGTAGTACGTCGGGCAGCGCAGGTTGCAGCTGTTCGGGTAGACCGTGGAGCAGTGCGACTGATATGGCAAAGGCTTGCACGGCGTCAGTGACTGGCTGTCCTTGAACGAGTACGAGGGACAGCTGGTCGGCACCTTGGGGCGGCCACAGTTCACTGGGCAGCATCTCGTGGTGGAGCAGACATAGTAACCATAGTTGCAAGAACAGTAGTAACTGCCAACCTAGTCACGCGCAACACACACATCAAAGTCATGCAACACACAAACGGCGTGAACTGAAGAACTTTCTCTTAGAAAAAAAAAAGAGAGAGAGAGAGAGAGAGAGAGAGAGAGAGAGAGAGAGAGAGAGAGAGAGAGAGAGAGAGAGGGAGAGAGGGAGAGAGAGGGAGAGAGAGAGGGAGAGAGAGAGAGAGAGAGAGAGAGAGAGAGGCCGCCAAGTAAAT